ATTAGAAAACGTTATACTTAATGTCAGAAATCTTCAAACCTTAAAGGTAGGAATACTTCAAACTTTTTTTGCCCAGTTTTTTTTTTGTCTCAGTATCTCAGGCCGCTCTGAATTCATTGCAAGGATAAACCAAAGGTGGGCTTGAACTCCCGATTCTTCTGCTTTCGCCTCCCAAGTCCTAGGGCTACATGGCATATGTCACTCTGTCTGGCCAAACTCACTTTATGAGGCTAGCATTGACATGACACAAATTGCCAAAGATGTTTCAAAGCAGAAAATTATAGGCCAGTATCTTCAATGACTATTTGCAAAAACCAGGGGGCTGGAGAGACCTCTCGGTAGTTAAGAATGCTTGCTATGCCCACAGGAGAGCCCGAGCATTGGATCCCAGCTCCAACATATCAGGCAGGCTACCGTGGGGGAGGGGATGAGGGGAGGGGTGGAGCAGAGACAGGAAGGTCCCTGGAACTTAACAACGGCCCTACCTGAAGATGTGTGTGTGTGTGTGTGTGTGTGTGTGTGTGTGTGTGTGTGATTCTCAACAAATTATTAGCGAACCGTCTGGCCACGGTAACTTGTGATTCCAGTATTCTGAAGGCAGAAGCAGGAAGATGCCTGTCTTGTCTCAAAAAGCCGACTTAGAAAGAACAGAAAGCTAAATTCAATAGCATATTAAAAGAACCACACAGCACACCTAAATGGAACTTAACCAAGGATGCGATGATAGTTCAGCATATGGAAACTAAGAACTGTGGTACACTGTGAGGACTGATTTTTATTGTCAGCTTGAATGGGTTTAGAATCACCATGGGGCTGAATCTGGGGGCAGATTACTAGGGTCTGCTGGGAGCAAGACTTCTATTGGGTAAATCTGTCTTGAAGGCTATGGAGCAAGGCCATCTTTGCTGGCTACAAGCGATGTCTCCAGAACCAGAGAAAGAGCACACAGCTCTTCTTAAAATTGAAGGTGTTTATGCCTGAGATGAACTGAATTATACTTGGGTAAGAGAAGTGCTCATGTGTGTAAAGCAAAAATAAATAAATAAATAAATAAAAATAACACAGTGGCTCCTGAATGCAAACAGAACAAAACCAGAGAAATCTGTGAACGGTAACTTGGGCCCATGGAAACACTGGCATGGTCCATGCCCAGTTCTGAAGCAACCTTCCTGCAAAAGGCCGTTGGACACAGAATCCATGTAATGCTGTACCCTTCCTGAGTTTAAACTAATGGAAAGTAAATAAACAAAATTGGATTTGTAAAAGCAAAGAACAAAACAAAAACAACAACAGCAAAAACCAAAACCATGGAAAGATTAGCTGTGCCTGTGAAGGTGTTTCTAGAACATTTCAGCTGAGGAGGAGAGAACCATTTTGAGTGTGAGAGGCCTCAGATCTGGGCTAAGTGGGAGGAAGAAGCAAGCTGAGTATCAACATTCCCTCACCCTGTTTCCTGGGCGGGCAAGGTCATCCGTCAACTCAAAGTCCCATCTTCCCTTCGACTACAGACTGCACACCCCAGCTAAAAGAAACCTTTCTCTCTTAAGTTGCTTCTTGCCTGGTATTTGGTAACACATCCGTAAAACAAAGGCTAGAAAGTCTGTGACCATCTCAACCAAAATAGAAGAAGCACTGGGTAAAATCCAATACCCCTTTAAGATAAAGATACACAGAACAAAATGCAGGCCACGTGTGACAAGCCCATCACTAACAAACCCAGTGTTGAGAAAAAAATTAAAGTATTTCTTTTTTTTTCTAACAAGACAAAAGTGGCCACTCCTGCCATCACTGCTGGTAGTTCTAGCCAGAGCAATTGGGCAAGAAAAATTAAAGTAAATCAAATTAAAAAACACCCAGACCAGAAGAAGTGAATCATATCATTCCTGCTTGCAGATGATATTTTTTTTGTAGCCCAGGATGACCTCAAGCTTGCTGTCTAGTTCTGCCACTTGACTGGTCACTGCCATGTGCCGGTATGCCCAGTTCACGTGGTGCTGGGGGTCAGTGTGCATACATCCTACCAACTGACCTGTATAACTCTTCAGCTCCAGATGATACGACATTATGGATGGTAAATCCTAAAGATGCTACCAAAAAAAAGTTCCCACTAATTCTGGTAAGTGAATTCAGTAAACTTGAAAGACAGAAAATAGATGCTCAAAATCAGTTGTTTTCCTAGAGAGCAACAACCGAGTGTCTTAAAAACAAGTTAAGAAAGCAATTTTATTAGAAGTAACATCAAGAATCAATAGAATTCTTGGGAATTAAGCATGAAATGAGGGACTTATACACTGAGAAGGGTAGAACAAAGAACGAATTGAGGAGAGCACACACACACACACACACGCATGCACGCACGTTCACACATGCATGTGTGTGTACATACTCACACACACATTCACACACACATGCACACACGCATGCATGCACACAGGTTCACACATGCACGCGTGTGCATACACTCACACACACATGCACTCATACATGCACGCGCGCACACACACACTAACAAAAGAAAAAAAGGAGAAACGTTATGGTCACTGATTTCAAGGCTTTCTTATTGTCAGAATATTTATATGACCCTAAGATTTCCAGCGATTCAGTGCTATGCCTACTAAACCAGAAGTAAACCCCTTGCTGCATACCCCAGGTAGAACTCTCCTCTTGGGGCTGCAGAAGTGGCTCAGCAGTGGAGAGCTCTGGCCGCTCTTCCAGAGGACCTGTGTTTGATTCCCAGCACCCACAGGGTGGCTCACAACCATAACTTTACTTCTAGAAGAGCTGCGGTCTTCCTCTGGCATCTGCCGACAGTGCCTGAAGGTGCACAGACATGCTCTCGAGCAGAACACTCACACATAAAACACAAGTAAGTTTAAGAAAAGGTGCAGAAGGGTGTTCAAAGCGCTACTGCAAATTACAGAACCAAACTGGAGACAGGCATCATGCTTGTAGATAAGGTCTGTTCTTGCAGCGGAACCCTGCTTCCAAGAGCATGGGGATGGATTCCGTTTGAGTGTGATGGTGCACTCTACAGCCCCGGCCATTGGAGAGGCTGAGGTGGGAGAGCCCTTTGAGCTCAGCAGCCTGAGGTCAGGTGGATAACGCAATGAGACTCCAGAAGCCCAAGTTAAAACCTCTGGAAGGCAGAGATGTATCTCAGTCATAAAACACACAGAGGGCCCCGAGTTAGAGGATCAGGGTTGCCAATCATTGACTGAATAAAACTTACAAAGGAAATACTGCCATTTTCACCAGCACAGAGGATTGTGCTCTGCGAGCAAACTCTGATCCACTGATTTAAGTATCTAAGATGAGATCAAAGCACAGAGGGGGCTGGTAGTTGCCAGAAGCCTGCAGGGGCAACTGGGCCCTTGTTGCTCTGTGAGTGTGAAGTTTCTGTTTTAAGTTCTAAAGATTTGACGTATAATGTAGTCTATAGTCGACAACGCAAAACTATGTTTTAAAACATATTAAGCACCTACGCACGGTGGTGCATGCCCTTAAGTCTACCACTTCAGAGGCAGAGGCAGGGAGATCTCTGTGAGTTCAGGGCCAGCCTGATGATGTACACAGTGAGTTCCAGGATAGCCAAGGGCTATGTAGAGACTTTGTCTCAACACACACACACACACACACACACACACACACACACACACACCTACCTTATTAAGTCAGGCATGATGGTGTGGCATTGTAATCCCAGAATTCAGGAGGTGGGAGAAGAAGGTTCAGGAGTTTAAGGCCAATCTTGGCTCTACAGGAGTTTGAGGCCAATCTGGGCTACATGAAACCTTAACTCAAACAAACTGCCAAGGGTGGGAGATGTAGCTAAGTTACTAGAGTGTCTGTTATAGCATGTACAAAGCTCTGGGTTTGATCCCCAGAGCCATATAAACTGGACCTGCTGGCATGTATCTATAATCCCTGCTCTTGAGAGATGGAGGCAGAGTTCAAAGATGATCTTCCTGGATTACACAGGAAGTTCCAGGCTAGCCGGGGAAAACTAGACCCTGTCTCAATACTTTCTCCCTCCCTCCCTCCCTCCCTCCCTCCCTCTCTCTCTCTCTCTCTCTCTCTCTCTCTCTCTCTCTCTCTCTCTCTCTCTCTCTCTCCCTCTGTCTCTCTCTCACACACAGACAGACAGACACACATACACACTCACACACACAGACACATACTCTCTTTCTCTCTCTCTGTGTCTCTCTGTCTCTGTCTCTGTCTCTGTCTCTGTCTCTCTCTCTCTCACACACACACACACATACACACACACGAGGGGAAGGAAATCTTGAAAATCTTTAATTTCTTTCTACCACTTGGTACTTCCCAGTTTGAAGAGTAGAGCCAAATTGCCCTCCACCCAAAGATGACAAGCCTTCTCATTTTTAGTTTGACTTCTAAGTATGGCCATCATCTGATAGTAACTTATTTTTGCTTCCCGTGAGTCAGAGAGGAAGAAGCCCTGTCTCCAAGCCACCAGGACAACCTTTAAACAAACAGCCCATAATGAGTAGTTTTGGTAAAGCAACAGCTGCTGCTGACCTTGTTATAATATGTGAAAGCTCTCTAATTTGTTCAGTGTTCTATATTAATAAAGCACATGTCCTATCATTTCTAAAGTCACCAAGAATGCTTGCTCAGGGGGACAGTGGACCGTCCCATACCAGAACCTGGGAGAGCAGAATCGCTGGCTGGCAGCGTGGAGATGAGACAGGATGTGAGAGGAGACTCTGGGCTGTGAACATCAGCTCTGTGTCCAGAATCTCATGTCCCCTCTGAGACTCGTCCAGAGAAAGGCCAAGTGAATAAGATACACATGGAAATACTTTGTTGACTGCTAAGGCCAGGGGAAAGATTAGACATCACTTTTATGAGATTCTTTGTGTCTTTTTTTGTCTTTGCTTTTTTTTTAATTTGAAGGATGCTAGTGTGTGTGCATGTGTGTGTGTGTCACAGATTCGAATAAGCCACACAACAATATGATGTCAGAGTTCAGTCCTTACCTTCCAGTTTGTTTTGAGTTGGGGGTCTCTGTTGCTCGAAGCTGGGGGAACCAGGACAGCTGGCCTTTGAGCTTCTGAGTAGCCTCCTGTCTTGGAGCCTCTTGTCATGTGGGATTGCAGACCAGTCCTGGCTCTGTGTAAGTTCCGGAGTGCAGTGCAGGCTCCCAGGCTTGCACAGCAAACCCTGTTCCTCCAGAGTCATCTCCCAGTCCCTGGAGGACGATGTTTCCAAGACCTAGAACAGTCATGAAGATGGGATTCTCCTCTCCTCCCACCTTATCACAGACTATGTCACATCCACAAAATAAATCACATCTGGATTCCTACCCCTCTCGGAATGAATATTATTACGCCAGTGCTCCTAGGCTTCCCATTTGTTTGTTGGTTTGTTGCTTTCTTTTTTGTATTTATTTGACACAGGGTCTTGGGTACACAGCTCAGGCTGGCCTCTAACTTTCTATATATATATATATATACATATATATATATTTTAGTTGAAAACATTTGAAACCCTTTTTATTATCTATTCAAAGTGTTCAGTTAACTCTTGCCAACTCTCTTCCCTACAGTCTCTGGACTGTGCGCACTTGGTCTCCAGTTGGTGGTGCTGTGTGAGGAAGTTTAGAAGGTGGGGTCTTGCAGGAGGAAGTAGGCCACTGGGGTCAGGTAGTATTCAATTGGTTTCTTTCTTTCTTTCTTTCTTTCTTTCTTTCTTTCTTTCTTTCTTTCTTTCATCTTTTAAAATTTAAATTAGAAACAAGCTTTCTTGACATGTCAATCCCAGCTCGCTCCCCCTCCCCTCCTCCCCTGCCCCCACCAACTCCCCCCTCCACCTGCCTCAGCCCCCTAAGCATTGAGATTACAGGCATGAGCTATCACACTCAACACTGAACTAATTACAAAGGTCATATGCCTTTGCCCCTTCCACCACTCCTGTACAAAAGGGCACCAGGACAAAACAGAACTAAAAAATATCAGGGTTTCCTGGTGAGGTGCTACATGCCTGCAATCCCAGAGTTTTGGAAGTGAAGAGAGGGGGAGCCAGGAGTTGAAGACTAGTCTGGGCTACCTGAGACCCTCTTTCAGAAAACACACACACACACCAAAACCCACAAATCCAAAAAGCTCATAATAGATTTCCAAGATGGCTTTTGTCTCAGTTCAGGCTAGCTTCTGAAGCTCATGTCTCAGAAAAGGATTGCAGGAGAACACCTCTGGGAAGAGCCGTCACCCCCATCTCCAGGCAAAGAGCCAGCTTTTAGAAAGAGGGCATGCGTATCAGGTCCTAAGAGGCATCCTTTGACAAGGCCAAGGTCTCTCCGCTCCACCGAAACCTCTCTGGGCTTCCACTTCCTGGGACAAATAATCAGAACTCCTAGGGCACTTGCTGTGTTGGCATACCTCACACTGACCCACTCCAGCGGGAGCCACTAACTCATCCTGAAAGACAAGCCACTGGGCCCAGGGAATTTACAGGATACAGACCTCCAGGAATTGGCAGGTCTGTGTGCACTTACCCTTTCTAACACTACAACTCCAGAGAAGACGCGGGACCCGTGTAGGAGAGGTGTTAAGGGGAGATGAGATGCATGACTCCAGCAGTCAGAGCTTCCTGAGGGGGCAGAGGAGATGTGGGCTTCGTGGACAACAGTGCTGTCTGCCAAAAAGCATGGTGGCACAAGCTGTCCTCCCATGTCCACGTTTGAGCTAAATAAGTAAATGGGAAAAATTAGGTTGAACCCTGACCTCCATACAGGAACTATGGTGTGTGTGCCCCACCCCGCCACACCCCCCTCTCTCTGAAACACACAGGCACACACATTCACAGTTTAAAAACCTACTTTGCTACCATCCAAGCTGCCTGAGCACACAGGACTGCCAGAGGCATCCAAGGTCTGTCAACTGCTGAGCATCTGTGATGCGTAGTTAAAAAAAAAAGACCCTGGGTCTGCTTGCTACACCTGCTGTGTGCTCCAGGTAGTACTGTTGTTCTTGGGCCTGCCACCTGATGTCACAGCTAGGGGCTTTGCATTTCTTACTCGGGACACAGATAAGATCATTCCTGTTTTGTGATGAGGATTTGAGGTTCAAAGAAAAAAAGACAGTTGGTTTCGTAGCCACAGGTGACTTAATCCCGCCTGGGTAGTCAGGTTCCTTCTCCACGGGAAGGTCGATGATGGGGTGCGGCTCTGTAGTGCAAGGCCTACTTAGCATGCACGAAATCCTGGCTTCAATCCTGGTACCAAAACAAACAAACAAACAAACAAACAAACAAACAAACAATCAAACCCAGAACCCTGTCCTCATCTGCAACTAACTCCTATTTTGAAATGCTCGTGCGACTCCCAGTAAGTATCAGCTAAAGAGAGGCCTGGGAGACCGGTGCTCAGGAGCCCCAAACCATGAATCAAGATGAGACATCCCCTAACCAAAGTCAGTCTGAGGTCTGGGTCTCTGGCTTTCCTGACTGCGGCCGCGTTACTACGGGAAGACCGGCGGGGGGCGCTGCAGACCGCACAGCTACTGCCTCCAGCTCAAGCCTTTAGGCATCGGGGACGCCGGGGCCGCCCTAGAGCTTCGGGGACACCATGCGATCTGATCTGCTCTTCAGCCAGCCAGCCACACCCTGCGAGCTCCCATTCCGCCTCCACTTGGAGAGGAACAGGGAACTCAAGGGAGCTCTCCTGGGCGGGGCAGGAGACCTGGAATAGTCGGTGCGCTCGCCCGGCCCTGGCAACCCTGGGAGGATCCCAGGCGGATCCCAACGCGCACTTGGACGCCGGTGCGCTGCTTCCCAGCCCCCAAAGTCTCCACCGCCAGGTGCAGCTGAGCTAGCAGAACCGCATCTTACCCCATACAGAACCTTAGTTCCAACTTTGAAGCCCATAGCGGACAGGCTGGTTTCGGGCCTGCCTCTAGCAGAAACCCAGGCATCCCCGGAGCCGGGACCCAGGTCAGCTCCGCGGATAAGGGATTTTGTGAATAGATTACTGTGATGAATTCTCGCCAATGGCTGGTTCCCAAAAGCTAACCGATCCTAATTGCCTGGGCAGAAAAGCACGCGGGCCATGCAGATGCTGCGCAGAGGAAGAACGCGCTTGGGAGGCGCTGGCTCACTGGCCGCTTTCAGAGTTTGCTTAGGCATCAGCAGGCTTGTTGGATTTCCTGCTTTCATTGTTTCATTCCTTCCCAATTCCCCGAGAGAGGGAAGAGAGAGAGAGAGAGAGAGAGAGAGAGAGAGAGAGAGAGAGAGAGAGAGAGGGAGGGAGGGAGGGAGGGAGGGAGGGAGGGAGGGAGGGAGGGAGGGAGGGAGGGAGGGAGAGATGTGTATGCCACAGATGGATTATGCATGCATATATGTATGTATGTATGTATGTATGTATGTATGTATGTATATGTTACCATCCCCACACGTTTTAAAACTACGGTACGAGGAACAGCGTATGTCATGGCAAAAGTTACTCGCCGAACATCTGTTCCTTCCAATGAGAGGGTTTCTTTTCTGCCAAGAATTTTATGAATTTTATATGGGCGCTTGGTCCCACTCTGGGGAAGGAGAAGAGGCCTGCCGAAGCCGCACGCTGGCCTGGAAGAACTCAAGGATGAGTCGCTTCTGACTTTAAAGGGCTCCCGACTCTGCGAAAGTTGCTCTTCGGAAGAACACGGAAGGGAGAGCAAGAGCCACACAAGTGCACGTGACCAGAAGCCGCAGAGCAAGCTCGAGGCCCGGGGTCTGGCTGACCTGCACGGTTTTGCCCCGGCTTCCTTCCTCTGGGGAGAGGAGAGCAGTGTTACGGGGCTGATCCAACAGTGCCTATCAGGGGACGCTCTGTGCTCCTTTTACTTTACAGAGACCAGATAGGCAGTGGTCATTCATCGCCCGAACTTCCCTCAATCTCTCCATCTCCAGTCAATGGTCTTGCTCCGTTGGACTCTGCTGACTACAAAGGCTAATCTTCTGAGATCCATCAGTAGGGGTGCTCCGAAAGCCTTCTCTCGGAATAGGTCACCAAGTGAACTGGCCCTCGGGACATTAATGATTACCTCTGGACGCAAAGCAGACTTATTTATCTAAGCGGGGTTCCAACAGGCATCTCCTTAGCCATTGAAAGAACTATCTACCCTAGAGTAGGGATGACGTGAACGAGGGAGGCTGTCCTTTCCCATCCGAAAAGGCGCTCTGCACAGTCTTCATGGGCTGGGCGGGTTTTGTTCCTGTCCCTGTGGATTTCAGATGAAATAAGCAAATGTACTTAGATATTGAGAGTCAAGCCAGACACAGTGGCACACTCATGCCTGTTATACTTTTGAGGCAGAGGCAAGAGGACTATGCTGCTTCAAGGCTAGCCTGGTCTATACTGATCTATACTGAGGATCCCAGGCCACCCAGGGCTGCATAGAAAGAAAACTAAACAAACAAAAAAAAATGTTGGGGGTCAAAATTGTTTCTGTTTTTTATTTTTTTGAGGCAGACAGAGAAAGGATAAATATTATGGGTTTGCTAGATGCTTTCAAGTAAAATATGCACTGAACACTGACTATCTGCTAGGCAGATTTCGTCAGGCATTGTTTTCACTGTGTTGTACTGTAGAGGAGAAGCACAAAGACATAATCACACTGTGTTTTAAGTAAGCATCAAAAGGAAAAATAAGCAGGTTAACTTGCTCAAGAGAAAACAGGGAAACTCTTTCAGTATAATCTGGGAAGGATGGCTCCAAGAATTGACAGCATTTCTTCTAGAATTTTCCCAGTGTAAATAATCGCACCAAGAATGAAGTTTTGAACATTCTACACACACACACGCACACACACATATGTAAAATATATGTTCAGAGAGAAAGAGACAGAGAGAGAGAGAGAGGAGAGTGAGGAGGGAGAGAGAGGGGGAGAGAGACAGGGGAGAGAGGGAGGGAGGGAGAGAGAAGGGAGAGAGGGAGGGAGAGACAAGAGAGGAGTCATATATGGGTATGGCAGGGTATGGTGACACATACCTGTAATCTCAGTTTCCAGGAGACACAGCAGAAGGATCACAAGTTCAAGGGCAGCCTAAACTTCACAGGGAGAACGGGTAGGGTGGGGAGGGTTGGGGGATAGAGAGTTGGGGGGTGGGGAGGATGGAGCTGTGACCAGCCTGAGCTCTGAGCTTTTTATGGAGGGAAAGAGCCCAGCTGGATGACTCAGTGAGTAAAAGCACTTGTCATGAAAGGCTGGGAACTTGAGCCCAG